CTTTCCTGGTTGCTGAGATGAAAGTGGGTGACAAAATGCACTCGCTTCCCGAACACACACACACACCTGCACACACAGACAGCCTCTCAACAATATGCGTTTTTGCTGGCTGTAGCAGCGCTATAACGCTGTACAGCAAAAACGCATAATAAATAGAGGTGCACATCAGAAAGCGACGCGCATCAAGCGTTTTTGCACAAGTTAATGCGCAGAACAAACAGAAGTTGATTGAACTTTGCTGTGGTGCTGGATTCATGACTCATTTAGTTTAAAAATCATTTGCTTCAAGAATTAAGAATTATGGCTACTAGACAAGCATTTTATATATCCCAATACTTTTCAGACATCAGTTGGATCTTTTGGCACAAATGTGCCAAGACCAGCAGTATCTTGCAATCGATCCGCCTCCAGAAAGGCAGCTTTTGAACATCAGTTCAGAATTACCCGCTAATCTGGTTTTGAAGTTCGTGCTACAGTTTATAATGTTTTTAATGTTCCTAAAACTTCTGCTTTGCGATACCGTAAAAAACCGAAGAATTTTTCAAAGAAATTACGTCTTACTAACAAATATATGATTTTTACAAATAGGAATTCAGGTGTATGTCGGATTCACGATTGCCACATGATTTGCGAGCATCGTTTACACGTCTTATGCTTCATTTGCATGTCGTACGTGGCTCACCACTCAATGCCATTCGACATGCTCGACTGTGGCGCGAAATCCCCGACAAAGTTACAATTTCCGGGTAGTACTTGACGTTTTTTCTTAACATAACATATACAGGATTTTTTTAGACCTTTTGTGCTTGTCCATGCACTTCTGCGTTTCCATCTTGCCAGCAAAAAGCGGGCAACATACGTGCTACTATCAGTGCAGGCCATCATCCTAGCGTTTTCCCCCTTTCTTGCTACCAAATTCCGGTCCGGAAAGACAGGGCGGATATGAAGAAGAGAGGATGGTTCCTTCACTGAAGTCGATAATTCAAATTTACACTAAATTATGTCTAGAGCAAATTTAAGCTAAGTAGAGGCATTAGCACCAAATGCCGGATTTGCATGAAAGTATCTCCAGCCAGGCCCAAATATCTGTGAATTCTCACAGCGATAACATATTTGCGTAGGTATGTGTGGACCAGGTAAAAGCGAAAATCAAACATAAGGATCAGGCGTCACGCTTGAAACTTCAGCTATGTGCTGGGTTAACAGTCTATTTTCCTACAGATTTATCTGCGCTGAGAAGCTCAGGATCACACAAACTAATATCATCGCACTTGAGTACCACAGTGCGGCTTTTAGCTTCAGGAACTGTTCTTTTTTTGCAAATCTCGTGCATCAGTATTATGTAAAAAACTGATTCAGAAATCCAAGTCGATCGGTGGAAGGCTATGTTGATGGTGGTCGAATTCGTACTGGAGGAGAATTTTTTGTTAAAGTATTGAAAACTGTGGATGTGTATCTCGAGGACCTACGCAAATCCACGCGGGAGGGTGAGGCCGTTTTGAGTGCAAGTGCAGCGAAGCTTGATGAAAATCGTTTAACTTTTGAGGTAATTTCAGAAACCTAAATCATATGCCAAAGGTTATATTAACAATTTGTTTAAGCTGCACGCATTCTTTCTGTACCGAAAGAATAATTGAATTAGTTGCTTTTGTTTCCACACACACTTACAGGTAGTGACACTGGCACGAGCTTTGGCTCATTTTGGCTTCTACAGTTTTGCAGACTTATTGCGACTTGCTCACAATTTACTAGCTATTGCAGACAGCAGCCCGAAGAAGCATTCAGGTATTTCATGTCTAATTTGCTTTATCGGGATTTTTACTGTTGTCACAGTCTTATATCCTGATGCAAACCAAATCCGCAGAACCAAACATGCTCTTGTTTTTGACTGTGGGTCTTTATCATCCAGGCATCTGTTTTTAGGAGGAATTTCAGATAAAATTTTGATAATCATGTGTTGAGAGAGATAAAACAATAATATTGGCTCGTAAGAGTTGAATTTAATCGAAAAACAAACCATGTTTCAGCTAAATCAGCATATGATAAGACGTCTTCATTGTTTCGCCAAGTAACATACTCAGTAATTGGTGTGAATGCAATGCAAAAAGCAGCAAAACAGCATTCTTCACATTTGCAGTCGGAGACCCAGTCTGCTGAAGACACTGCTCGAGCCAAAGAAAGCCAACAAGTGATTCTCGAAACGAAGCTTATCATCGTTGAAATTTTAAATGTTAGCTTGCTCATGGTCCCTTAGAATGATAAGTGTTTTGCGGCAAGTACTTATTGATAACTTGCTTCAGTTTATCATGGATGTGCGTCGAGACTACCGTATAACAGTGGCATTATCATGGTTCAAACGACAGTTCCCTTGCGACGATATTGGAGAGCTTTATTCGGAAGCAGGTCACAGTCTATTATTTTTGATAACATCTGCTACGTTTCTTATGCAGAACGCCGCCATGACGTATCTGAGCGCTCTGCTCTTTTGCTTTTCCATGAGCGAGTGGTGCTCAGCTCGAAAGCAAGATTATAGATGCTTCTGATAATCCGAAATCAATGAAACATGCAATATTTGCAGCAAAAGAATATAAGAAAGTAGAACATACGTGCTGTGCGGAAAAAATCGTCAGGACTTGATCTAATCTAACTGGATGAAATAACGAGCCAATATTTTTGCTTCATCGGCCTTGCAGATCTTAGGCTGAAAAGAAAAAAACTGTCAAATTTTTTCAGCAAGAAATTATGGGTTTTTTAGATGACTTGACTAAATCAATGGGCCAAATTTTGAATGCTTTGTTCAGACTTGTCAGAACAAGATGCGTCACGGTTATGTGAGGAGGTTTTCCAAGAATGTGAAGAAGAGCTTGATTTTGATGGCGATCGAGGCCAGCTATTGCTCCGAATCCTCCTTCAAATGACGATGAGCGACTTTTCCAAACTCACTAGTACCGCTCTTACAGTTCTCTTCCGCCATTTCACACAGTATCAGGAATTCGTCGAAGATCTGAAACAGGTATTTCTTTGAGCAATTTCCATCTGTCATGTTTTTTGGTTCGCTGGATTCAGGCTGGACGATTAAGCATATCACCCATTTAACGTTAGTGTTTTCCTTTGTTTAGAGGAAGTGAGTTGAACGATAATTGTTGTAGGTACAGTTGCTGGTTTCGAACGATGACGTAGAAAATTACCGGCAGGTGGATCGTGACTTGTTTATTCTTAAGATACTTACGGAGAAGAGTGAACTTTGGATACAAGCTGACAAGGCACGCTCGGAAAGTAGTAGCAGTCACAGTTTTGAAGAACACAGCTCGAGTGTGGATGACTCGCCTAGACCGCTGCTCTCAGTGTTTGTTTTTCAGTCGTCATTTGCACGGTTGAGGGGTGCACAAGCAAGTTTGTTAAAACGGTTCTTTCGGGGTGTGCATGAGCAGTTACAAATAAAATGGGCACCCCTCTCGAAAATCCAAAGCGTAATTTTTATTATTTGTCAGTTGCTCTCAAGTACACATATCATGCACTGTAAAGAAAATATTTTGACTGAGTGCTGGACGATTCTCTCCCCCTCCACCCGGTTGCTACCGCTAGGGCCGATGAGCAGAGCGGAGAGGAAGTAGTGGTGCGACCGAGTGGAGGGAAAGAGCGTGGTTTCCGGTGCAGTGACGAGCAGGGAAGGGAGAAGGGAAGAGAAAAATCAACGTGGTACTTAAATCATTTTGCACATTATTTTTTTAGTTTATTTTTTGCTTTGTTGTTACTTTATCTACTTAGTCTATTTTAGAATAATATTTTGGAAAGTTATAGGAGTTTTTAAATGAGTGTTTATAGTATTTTTTGATTAGTTTTTTCTTTATTTATTGATATTTCAGTTGGTCAAAATCAGTATTTAAATTTATTAAGTCAGTAGATTATAAAGCGTGTATAGATCAGTGATCAGATGTGCATGACCGAGAGTTATTTGTGATAAGCTGTAACAGCATTCCAGTGGAAATGTGCGCTGTTATATGCCATAGTTCATTTAGTGCATGAAAAACAGAAAACTTTTGAATTCTATGGTTTCCTTCACATTTGAATTTGAACATGCGCCTCGCTCAGCGGCAGGAAGGTAGGCCTTATAAAGTTCACTTAAGGCGTTCAACAAGTCAACAGCTGGAAGAAATCGGACTGAATGCTCCACGTGCTTTTCATAACGACGAGAGTTTCCGAGCACTTGTTGAGAAAATAGATCAGCATTACTCTCCGGCGCGAGAAGAATGTATCAAGCTATTGTATGAGGTGACTTTGACAATTTTTTATAAGCTACTGATTTTTTTAGTTCCTCGTGTTGTTGAAAGTATTCTGTACGAGCCAGATATTTTTAATGAGTTAAAAAATGATTGTTCTGTGGCAGTTCAGGAAACCATTCTTAAGTCGGAAACCAAGACATGTTAAAGGAAACTGTTGTGATTTCAGCTTTTGCTTGGCGATGACAGGGCACTGGCTGCTTCAGCGCTATACGAGCTTTCCGACCGTACACCACTTATTGGCTACCCTCTTGTGAGGCAGGTTTGTTCGCAGACCCAAACTATACTTTGATTCAAACTCATTCTAAAATTGTTTGATTACTCATTAGAGAATAAACCCATACTAAATCGAAGACTACGAGATACAGAATAGTAAACGGGTGCGATGAGCACATATAAGGCAAAATCCTCAAATTTGGCATCTTTTTGCGTTTTTGCGTATATATGCAAATGCAAAAACGCATTTTGGTAAGAGGTTGTCCGTGTGGGTGCGTGTGTGTGTGTGTATGTTCGCATTTTGTCATTCACTTTCAACTCGAGAGCTGAATAAGCTAGGAAAGCTGGAATTTCTGGAACATGGACCTACTCCCCATATTTGTGTACAGTTCGGTCTCACGTGTGGATACCTAAAAGAAAATGTGTAAATTTTCAGCGGGAAAGCGATTTCGGGAACTAGAAAAAATAAACCCAGGCTGGAACGCACCAGGCTTGCCGGTGTGATCATGCGGTTTTGCACTAAACTCGCAGATCGCTAATAGCAGGAATGATGCCTGCGCTGTGGCCCTAACACTTGGGTTTATATTGGCCGCGCCCTGGGCTCTTCTGGCATACAAGAGAAAAGGCGTCGGTAGGAATGTAGGCGTTGCATTATAGGGCTGCATCGATCCAGACACATGATTGCCAGTTTTTTGCATGGAACCTAGTCGTTATTTCGATAAATGTTCGCTTTTTGAAAAAATGCAGATTTCCAGTTCACTAAAAAGTGGAAATGCTGCTAGAGTGGTGGTTCATCAAACTCAGGCTCGAAGGCACCAGGCGAACCGGTGCGATCACGCGTTTTTGCAACAAACTTGAAGTAATTGGGTTAACTGCATGAACGGTTATTTCTTCACACCTACCTTGTGCGTTCAATACCGTAAATTGTCGTAAATTTTGCATAAAAGGAAGCAAACAATTTCTGTTTAGCGGTCGTTTTTATTTGAAAATGATCCAGCTGTTCAATGAAATTTTCTCGCCAAAAATTTAAGTGCCCATACACGAGAACCACGCATACATGGAGGTTGAATTTGAAACCTTTGGTCTGTATTGGGACGGGGAATATTCTCCTAAAATCTCAGCTTTCCAGGTTATCTGGTTCCGGAGTTAGCCATTTTCCCGCCAAAAAAAAATTTACTGGGCCGTACGTGAGAACCACATAGGGCAGGTGGCTGAATTCGATAAGTTTGTGTTGTACTTATGCTAGGAGCATTCCCTGAAAATTTCAGCCTCCCAGCTTTGATGGTTCCCGAGTTAGCCATTTTCCCGCAAAAAAATTTGACGGGTCTGCACGCGAGAACCACGCACACCTAGAGTCTGAATTTGAAATCATTGAGTTATATGTGGACGGGGAATATAACCTCAAAATTTCACCTTTCTATCTTTTCCCGTTCCCGAATTGCCAATTTTCCCGCCAAAACTTCCACCCTTTCGTATGCGGGGTCCAGACTTGCATGAAAGTTGGTACCGCGGTTCTGGGGTGGCACTTGGCCGGGGAACCTACTAGCAAAATCTTGGCGGTGGAACTTGCTTGATTGCCGAATTGAAATACCTGGACAGACGAACACACACACACACACACACACACACACACATACACATACACACAGACAGGGTCGTCGCAATATGCGTTTTTATGCGTTTTTGCTGTGCAGTGGCGTGTTTTTGCTGGCTATAGCATCGCTATAGAAGCGCTGTAGCGCTGCTACAGCCAGCAAAAACGCGCATTCTCGAGGGGCTGTCTGTGTGTGTGTTCGGAAAGCAAGTGCATTTTGTCACCCACTTTCATCTCAGCAACCAGG